CAAATATCTAAAATAGTCACAGCTGTGAGATGGGTGACCCTGTGTGGAGCTCTTGAAAATCAGGGCAGGACAAGACAAACAAGCTGAAATTAAAGGAAATAGTTTTGGTCTACTGTTAGGAGGAATTTCCTGACATAGTTGTAAAGTGAATCAGTCTGCCAGGAACAGCAATACTTTTCTTTCATGGAAGTTTTCAAGTGGCCTGTGTTAGTAGTATTGCAACATACACTTATTTTATGATTTATCCAACTATGGAGAAGAGATTTATGCTAAAACTTGAAACTGGATGTTTAGCAGGATAGCATATCTTGGTGTATATCTATAATCTGTGCATATCTATAGCACTATTAGTATAACACTGTAAACGATTACTGTGCCCATCTATACATGGTAAAAAAAGAAAATAAATGCAGCTGTAAAGGAATCGGTTGTCTCACTTCTAGCAGCACATAGTAACAAATAATAATAATGGAGATGAGAGAGGAAAGAAAGAAATGATTTTGACACATAAAAACATTCCAACACTCAAATATTCTCTCACTCCTGCATAATATGAACAGTCTTGAGAGTTATCAAAAGCTACTGCATCTGGGCTGCATACATTTGGACAGCCACTAGATAACAGCAAGGAGGCTTTTTTCTATCTCTCTGCTGCTGCCTACTTGTTGTCCAGCTTTTTGCAGCCCAGCTCTGGTAGCCTTAGTTGAATTTCACATAGTGGCCCCAGTTGGTTCCTGAAATCCATTCAGAATATCTCCCCCAACAGTAGGGGATCTTAAAGGCCATACCTCCATTGTAAATGTGCATATTAATGTTTGATGTATGCAGACTACTTGTATGATCAATAGCAAAAAATGAGCAGAAGATTCAAACACCACAAAGTTCCATGAACCCCAAACTAAGAAAACAAATACGCTTGTGGGTAATTGTTTCTATGTGGGCTATTTTGCTTTATTGAACTTGGTGCCTTTCAGAACTTGGTGTATCTAGATTTGTTGGGACCATGATGGCCTACTAGCAGAGACAGATAGCATGCCAATTCTGGAAGTTGTGATCTTTACAGATCTGTAGGACAGCAAGTTTGGGAAGATGATTTACAGGTAGTCCTCAGCTTATGTCCATTCGTTCAGCAACTGTTCAGAGTTACGGCAGTGCTGAAAAAATGGACATATGACTGGTCCTCAAAGTTCTGGCCATCGCAGCAGCCCCACAGTCACGTGATTACGATCCAGGTGCTTGGGTGCCCAGCTCGCTATTATGTCATTGCAGGGAGCCACGGTCACATGATCGCCATTTGCAGCTTCCCTGCCAGCTTCCCACAAGCAAAGTCAATGGGGAAGCTGGCAGGGAAGGTTGCAAGTCGCTTCTGTAAATCGTTCCCACCCACAGCCTCCGACGGCCCTCCCAGGTTTCCCCCAACTCATCCGTGGCTTGCGCCAGCCTCCTCCACCCCCATAGCACCCCCCTCCACAACACTCCCGTGCTTCTTACCTGGGACTCCCACTGCTTCCCACTTAACAACCCACTGGGTCCCAACTGCCATTGTAACCCAAGGACTACCTGTGTATTAAATCATATCACTGACTGAAAGTACTGGAACTTGCTTTTTTCGGCAGATTCCCATAAAAAGGCAGGATATACCATTTAAAAAGAACACCATACTCCTATGTATGTCTATCCAGAAGGAAGCCCAGCTGGGTTCAGCAATTCTTATTGCAGACAGGTAGTCCTTGGTTAACAATGGTAATTTGGGGGTAATTTCCATCACTAAGTGATGCGGTTGTAAAGTGCGATGTCACATGATTGCATTGCTTAGCGATGGCAATCACAGCAGTCCCCATTGCCATCATTAAGTGATTACCACGGGTTGTTAAGCGAGGACCTCCTCGTGACTTTCTGCCAGCTTCCAACAAGCAAGATCAATGGGGAAGCCAGCAGGAAGTTACGAGTTCTGGGCAGCTTGCAAGCAGGCCGGCTGGCGGGTAAGTGACTACTGTAGTGCAAGTGCAACTGGGCTGGGGATGGCTGCTCCCAGGGGTGGGAGGGTGCAACCTTTCTGAAGGCTTGTGAGAAGGCTGCATGCAGCTTCGGGAAGAAGGTCTCACGTGGTCAGCAGCTGCCTCGTGAAGGGTCAGCCTGGGCAGTGGGAAGATGATGGCAAAAGTCAGCTGGGGGAGGCAGGAGTGGCAGAGTGCAGGGGCGGTAGGTGGGTAGAAGCTGAAGCACACCCTGAGGTTGTAAATGCCGGTGGGCTGCCAAGCACCCAAATTTTGATCATGTGACTGTGTGGTTACTGCAATGGCTGTAACTTCGAGGAGCAGTCATAACTACCATTTGCTCAGCACCATTGTAACTTTGAAAGGTTGCTGACCAAATGGTTGCTAAGCAAGGACTATCTGTAAAGGAATGTCAGCCTAAATAGACAGGCAGTGTGAACTATCCTTTGTAGCAGTTTTAATGACAAAACTGACATGTTAAAAATAGCTTAATCTACCATACTTCACCAAGACCGTGTGTATGTCTATCTCTCTGAGTGTGTATCAAGTGGCAACATGGCTGCTTTCCCAAAGGAGCCGAGCAGGGTCAGGCCTGGCTCGTACTGGGATGGGGGATCTCCGTTAAAAAACAGGATTCTAGGCTGCATTGGAAAGTATAAAAATAAATCTCAGAAGCTGGCACCAGCAAACCATCTCTGTATTATTGCCAGCAGAGTGCTGGGCAGTGCCCACATCATCACCAGGAATTAAGCTTGACCCAGGTTAGCCTTTAAGTGCTCTGAGTCATTACCACTCTGCCCAGCTGCAATCCTCAATAGGGAGTAAGAACCCTCTCTTATTGTAATAGTTACCGTGCCTTGATTTATAAGTAAAACAGAGAAAGTGCAAGGCAGTTGTGAATTAAGTCTCTGGGAGAAAAATATATATATTTGTAGTACTCTTGACATAAATAGAGAGAGCAATGCCAATACTAGTCAGCCCAGGAAAAAGAATAGTGTCTTGGTTGTCACTTACAATGCTATCTTCCCTCTCAGAAATGATCCCAAACCCAGAACAATTTTATTAGATAGCAACATGTCATGTTTTGTACAGCTTGGCATTAACCGCAGTTTTTTTCTCCCTAGTCTGGACTTCAGTCTGCTGTGTGTATCCGTCAGGCTTCCGATAACATACAGGAAATAGCTTGAACACACTACCTGATACTTCAGACACTTACGGTTATGATCTTCCCATTCTACAGATCAAAATATATTCCAGACTGCGCAAGGCAATACTGCAACCATTCTTTTGCAGTGGGCATGGAATTGCTCAACCATTATTTTGTTTCACGTTTTCCAAATGCACATATCAAAATTCCTGCAAGCAGACAGCACAGGAAGGTGTTCTATGCCGATTATGTGAAGAGTCAAAATGCTCAGCCATCTATTTCCTGCAGATGCATTTCAAGGACACCCTGAAAAAAAATCTGATTATAGGAAAATTACAAGCACATATGTAAAACAAAGCATCAGGCATGATAGGTGCTGCCTGTTTAAAAAAAACAACAACGATTAAACAAGTTTTTTTTTAAAAAAGTTTGCAACGCATTCAGATATTTAGCCATAGTTTATTTTATTCTTATACAATATTATAAATGGTAAGAATCCACACACATTCTTTCCGGTGAAAGCGTCGCCTAAACTGAGCCACAAACATCTTTTAATGATACGTTATACTCAGCCATGATCAGTTGCCAAAAAAAAAAATACCGTATTTTAAATACAGCATCTTGTTAAAGTGCTTTTTAAAATGGCAAGGCATCACTGAAACATAAAAAGGGAAGTCCACAAGTATTAGTTGCCCTGAGAATAGTACTAAATAGAAAACGGTGATAGAACGGCCTCCGTGCCATGAAATTAAAGGCTTCAGGGTAAAAGCATGCAGGATTGGAATTTGATCTCAGAGAACCCAGTTGATTTGGAAGGAGGTACATTTTAACAAGAGGGGAACGAGAGACCGCAGACAGCTCACCACGATCAGGGTGGCACTCCCAAAAGGCTGTTTAATACCAGAGTTAAGGAAAAAAGAATCACTCTTGGCTGTTTTGCACGGTTACAAAGCTGCTTTAATAGGAACATTCCTCCTGAAACTCTACGTACAGGAACACGGCAGGATTTCTGCAGTACAGTAATAAAGGTCTCAATTATAGGTCTCAGGTCCTTTTATTACAGATTTAAGTGACTCTTCCCCTGTCCCAGGAAGCCCCTCCAGTAGAGGTGACACATCCTTTCGTGAGGCTTTGCTTAGCATGTTCCAATATGGCTTATCTTTAGCCTCCAAACAGATCAGGCTTTGACATACACCAGCATTCTGCAACCCATATACCCTCTATTGGAAACAGCACTATAGTCCCTCCCAAGGGATTTTTAGCATTCTTTCATACAGCAGTCTCCCCCCCCAAAAAAAGTTACATTTTCAGTGGTTTTCCTTGGCGTATCTTTCTTTCCTCCCTTATGAAAAGTAAAAACGTTTACAGATCAGTGACTCACTGCAGGAAGTCCATTTTTAGAGATCAGTGCCCACTGACTGTAATATGTCTATTCCTGAGCCATGTACGTCATTCGACATATCTATCCAAAATTTAGTCCTGTTGGGCTCAGAGCGATGTCATTTTGCAATTAACTTGTGATGCCAGAATAGCAATCCAGTGCCCTCCAGATATTTGGACTGCAGTTCCCAACTGAAAGGGACAGTTTTATCTATCGGCAGAATGAATCGTTTCCATTTTCTTTCTCTACTTACGTTCCATGGCGGAGAGATTCATGAGACTATCAACTGTTTACATCCCAAGTCACATAAGCAGTTATTCCTTAAGAAATCATACAGAACTCACACTCAAGTACCTTAAGCAATTTTTGTGCCTTTGAGTCAGTCTTGACTCCTGGCGCCTGCCTGGACAAGTCCCAACATTTTTCTTGGCAACATTTTCAGAAGTGACTTGCCATTGCCTTCTTCCTAGGAATGGCCCAAAGTCACCCAGCTGGTTTTTGTGCCCAAGGCAGGACTACGACTCACAATCTCTTGGTTTCTAGCCTGAATGCCTTTGACCACCACACAAAATTGGCTCTTACCTTAAGCAAGAGTTAATTAGTTAAGAGTATAGACTTGCATGCCACATGATCAAACAGTGACTACATTTACATGGCATACATTTATTCTGAATGCACCATTCCTTGGTGAAATCTGCTATTCCCATGCCCTGGGGATAACCTTTTGGAAACTTTCTAGTAATCAATACTTAAAACATGGTAAATATTTAAAGCAACCTTAAGCCATAAATTCATATCCAAAGCTGTTGCTTTTGGAGCCCAGCAGTTCAAAAATATAATAATATTGTTTGCTTGGGCTTTTATAATTGTTCAGGTTCTTGTTTCAGGACACGGGAGGAATTAATATTTAAAATAAATGTAAGATTTATTTCCCTGAGTTTGCATAAGGGGAAAAATAACGTCCTTCTGTACAACTTATTTTTCCCCAGGCCTTTGGTGCAGTACCATTCTTTATTTGTGGATTTCAGAAGTGCCTGTTTGCAACAGTAATTAAATGAAATCTCTGTATTCCAAAGCAGTGTATTTCTAAGTACAGAGGACTTGGAGATAAACAGGGGTCAGCTGTGACCTTCATGCCAGACTGATGAGATTTCACTTCCAGAGGCATTTGACTGGTAGGACATCGTTGGATGCAAAACGCTGGACCAGAAGCTCTTGGCTTTGATCCAGCAAGGCAAGCAATAGATTTTTATTTGCATCACTAGTCTAGTGTTACAGTTTTGGGCCTTGCCCGTACTTCTCTGTCCTGATGAACTGGAAAGTAAACAGATCTGCTACCAGGAACAGTGCATCTTCAGAACACAGGATATTTATAATGCAGAGTGCAAAGAGGCCAAAGGAAGTGCACACGTGAAAGCAGTTTTTGAAAAGGAAAAATGATGAGGAAGAAGTCTGCAATACTGTTTCCAAAAAGAGCAGTAACTGTCATATAGCACCTATATTTTCCAAATGCCTTTGGAACATTTCAAGCCCACTGAGTTACTCGTTATGAAAGATCAGAGGGGGAAAGCAAATAAATATTTATTTATTAATCATTTATTATTTACTATTAATCATATTTATATAGCCGCCCATCTCACACAAGGTGACTCTGGGCGGCGTACAACAATTAAAAAAAAAATAGAAATCTGACACCTATATGGGCATAATTATATAATACTTTTGGGAAATATGCCTTCTATCTGCCTACCGATCACATTTCTTTTTCTAAATCCCAATGTTATTAAAATTCTGTGATTATAGAAAAATAAGTTCTGTTTGCTTTCTAAAAGCTTGCACTTGGAAATACTGTAGCACATTTAGCCATTTTATAATAATCATTTGTGTCACAGTTCTAAAACACAATGATGTACGCGGACTTAACTTCTTTATGCAACTGGAATTTAAAACTCTATTTCTTTTCAACATGGGCTGCAAAGCATATTTGCAGAAATTTTATATGAAATGCAAAGTGAAGCACAATATTCAACTCTTTTTGCTTGGTTTCTTGATTTTGATAAAGGTCCAAAGAATAGTTATGGAGCAACTCTATTAGAATACTCAAAAACAAAGGGTCAAATATGGCAACATGAATTATAAAAACAGAAAAGGGAGAAAGAGATTACATTGTTAAGGAGTTACAGATCATCAGGGTAACCTGAATGTATTTTGTACAAAGTAAGCTCTTCTTCATTAATAATGTATTGACCTTTTCATGCCTAACTTTTCACATTTTAGAGATTCAGATGCTGGCAGAAAAATAGGGGCTACTTGAATACTGGCAATAGTACACAAACTGCTTCTCTCAAACAATTCTGAATAAAGGCTTAGAACAAGATCCAGATTTGTTTGGAGCTGGATTTCTTTAATTGCCAGGCACGGTGGCCAAATTATGGAAATTTTAATCTATCAGAACTGAAGGATACCAGATTGAGAAAGGCTGGTCTATGGGCTTCAAGTACTATTTTAAATTACATTTTTCTTACCGTCATGAAACTATGCCCATAATAGAACATGCAACAAGCTTTTTATTTTATAGCTCAAAATAAGGAACAAAAGAATTCTATGCAACGTCCTTTCAGTAGGGACATTGGTCACTTAGGATACTACCCAGCTTGATTCAGAATTGTGGAGATGTCAAACCACCTTTCTTCAGTCATTTCATCACATGCAAAAAGTTGAGTGTGCAAAATTATCCACTTGCAATCATGAGTATAGGATCTGCAATGACCCGTCCCAGCAGTCACAGATCACTGAATGGTACTACGCATTGGCCTGTCCCTGATATCTTTCAAATACTTTATGGCTAAAACTCCCAGATTTCTCAGTCAGGAAAGGTGATGGTAAGGACATGATGATGGAGGAACAAACAAAAGAATGTCAAAGAAATGAAATCACCTCTGCAAGGGTCAATGGCCATCCTTGCTGAAAATGCTGCCTGTAATCCTAACATATTTAGAGAGTGCCCTATTGGAGAAATCTGCTACTTCGCTCTGGTAAGAATCCAGCTTTTCTGCTACCATAACACATTTTCAGAGGTTGCCTAACCAACCTTCCACAGTGACAAACATACACCTAGTCTGAAGACAGAAAACTCAGTTCAACTGCAACCAACAAAATCTCTCAGAGCTATAATGGCCACATGTAGACTCAGAAATATGAAAAATTAGGTTGTAAGCATTGCCGGTTAGCATTCTACCTAGCCAATTTTTCCATGCCCTCTTCTAGATACTTACATAGATACTCCATTTCATTCCACCTTCTCCACTTTTTCACCCCTCCCCAAAGCAATCAGTTAACTTTCTATGGCTACTGACTTTTCCTTGAGCTATTCAGGGGGTTCCCTTTGGCTCCACCTCAAAGATTTGTGTGTTCTTTACGATTTCATGAAACATGCCATTCTATCTACATAAGGATCCAAGTTCAGAAAACGAATTTGCTACTGAGGGACAATATTTCTACTGAAATCAATAGAGAAAATCCAAGAGATTTGTTTGAAGTGTCCATCCTACTTTCTATTTGTTTGAAAACAAGAGATCTAAATACACTTCTTGGCTTGGTCACCAATAAGGAAAATAGATTTTCCATTACCCAATGTTCCTCTTACGTTGGCCAGGCATATCAAAGGAAGTTCAAATTCCAAAGAATGGCCCCTTGAGAAAACATCTTGTATAGAAGTCCTCATTAGCAAATATAGGGCTGACATGAGTTTCTACTCTGGAACTGGGATCCCTTCCAGCTCCCATGAGATACAGAGCATGCATAGCTGGAATGCACTGCAGTATAGCAGCCCGAAGGTTATTCAAGGCACAGTTATCAGTCCAAAATACAAGAAATCAGAAACCAAGTACATTAATCTTCTCTGCATCATGTGCAAACAAAGCAAAAAACCCAAACCCTATGCTGGGGGTGGATTGTGGGGGTGAAGATGGGAGAATAATTTGCATATAGAACGGGAGGGGGGGGAAGCTCTGTCAGGAAACCTTGTATAAACAACCAGATTTATATCATGGACAATCTTTTGGGAGCCATTGAGTGGATGAAGCCAGAGCTAAAAGCAGATGTGGTCAGAACCCAAAATGGATGGGATTATCTGTTTCCTGACATCTCAAATATTTTTCCTTCTGAAAATATTTGTTCCTCTTTCTCAAGAAGTAGTCCACAAGGAAAGGAGAGGTGGTTCTTATTTGTACTTTTCTCTTGCAGCAGCTTATGAAATTAGTCTGGGGGCTGCATAAAATTAGTCTGAAGGCCATACATGATGTACAGCTGCAAATTATCCACCCCATCTTAGAGACTAGTCCAAGCTAGGTGAACTCAATCTAAGGCTGCTTGCTACAGCATTCCAAAATCATGTCACAAAATGGGCAGGGAGAAAATAAAGACTTGTACTGTATTTCATCATACTACATTGCACAAGGTGATTCCTCCTGAAGTACTGAATGTATGCTAGATCTCTGATTTTAGAATACTTTTCAGGTCCGCTGGCAATCACAAATTCATCTCTCATCAGTTGTTTACATACATCAGAATGATCCTTAGCTTAGTATATACGCACAAAAAAACCCTTCCACACTCATTGCTATCTTCACCATATCACCAGTAGTTCTTCCCCAAGAAGGAGCCGCTCTCTATGAAGTGAGCCACAGAAGTTGCCTTACAGTCTTAATGGCATATGCAAACGTCTCAGTCGATGTCAACAACAGCAACCTCCCAAACACGTATGCATACAAATGGTGACAGAAACAGTACAACATGCAACTCAATCCTTAACTGCACCGGTAGCTGTATCACCCAGGAGTTGGTGACGCAGGGCATCATTTACTTCTTCTAAATTATTTTTAAAAAAGCCAAAATCTCATAAGATCTCCTAGAAATCTAACACATTTCAGTGTTGTTTTGTTTTGGAATCTAGGCCGTTACCTAGTAATGCCCAAGGCTGGTAAAGTATAACCCATATTAATTATATAGGCAAAGAAGCATTCTCATTTCTTCTCAGAGAAAAGTCCTGGGACTCAGTTTCCAACCAAGCAGGCAGTTTCACATTCTAAAAAATGTGATTCAGGATGACCTCTGTGTTAACTATAAAAAAAGTAAAAATGCCTGTGAGTCAAATCTGACTCTTAGTAAGTACATAAATACATCCATGAAGTTTTCTTGGCAACAAAAAAGAAGTGGTTTGCCAATCCCTGTGTCTAAGATTTTTTTCACTTTCTCACTCTAGCCATGGCTTGTTTGGAAACCAGTTTAAGACTGGCTGCAGCCTACACAGTCAAAATCAAACATTGGTACAATGTGGCTGTAGTTCATTAAAATATGGTGACATCAGCTTCCACCTTTTGTTGAAGTTTGCCATTATTTGCCTTTAAAAGTGTTCACGGTCATACTTCTACAGAATAACTTCATTTTTAAAATCTTTCTTAGCAGATAAATTTGCTGGAACTTATAATTTGTATAGTATTGTGTTGAATGGGATTCAACATTGAAATTATTTTGCAGAACAGAAATAGCTTAAAAAGAAACAAGTCTGCATTTAACTACTGCTTTTTCCAGAGCTACTTTGACTCTGACCTGGAAGGCAAAAAAAAAAAAAAAAATTCTCCACAAAGTAAACTGCATTTTCTCTTCTTTTAATAACAGGAAGTCCTATAAAACACATTAGTATTCATGGACTTGAATGCCAGATGTGTAAGAAAACTGTCAGATAGGCATTATTAACTGCACCATAAATTTTCATTTCTATTTAAATGGTTATTTTTTGCCTGCCCCCACCCTGCAGCATTTGACCAGTGCATTAAAAAAGTGCAACATCTTTTTTTTCTACTAGAAATTAACAGAAATACGCTTGTGTTCCATCTGTCAAAGACATTTCCTTAAAAAAAAGTGCAAAAAGTGAAGTGCAAAACTACAGAGCATCAACAAGTGAAAAAATAAACAGTATGTCTTAAAATACTGCATAATGAGCACATTCTGAGAATTAATCAAAACAATAAAAGAAATTGGCTTGCTTCTACTGATCACACCTCTTGGCTATGATTCCTACACATTTAAAGTGAATTTAGTGCAAATCACTGCAAATTAAGGCCCTTTATCCTTTTCTTTTTTTAAAAAAAACCTGCTTCTCTGAACAACTTTTGAACAGATCACTTGTTCTTCTTTTGTTCTGAAGGATCTTTGCCATGTTGAAGAGTTTCTTTGGTGCCTCAGGAAGAAAGCGGTCAAATGAAGGCTTTGCTTTTAGATGAAATGAATCCAGCTCTCTTCACATTCTCTGGGCATCTTAAGTGGATGACTCCTACAAGTGAGGGTGTAGTTCTTGTCTTGATTGTTATCCCAGTGTTCCTGCCCGCTGACTTGGTATAATATGGCAAACTCAATTACTGAGCTAAGCTGGAGGAGGAAGGGGGGGAGAGGGAGGAAGAAGGTAAAGATGTCCACTTGGGTCTCCCCATCCTGGCCAGCAACACTGCTATGCCACTGAGCATTTATTTCATGCTGGCCCTTCCAGTGATTAAAAGTGTAGCGCACAACCACCTGCTTCTCAAAGGCAACGTTGATCACTCTGATCATGCCATTCAGGCCCAGATCTGAGCTTGTCACTCGTTCCAAACACACCCGCTGCTGCTGCAGGCGGCCGAGGAAGTTGTCACAATCCACCGGCTGCTGGAAGTCAGGCACCAGGCAATGCATGGTGAATTCCAGGTCCACCCTGCTGCAACAGAGATCTGAGTTAATGGACAGCCGGGAAAGAACATGCAGCGGGATGGATGGGTCTTCCCCAGCTTGGAAAACTTTCACTTCTGCCAGCTCCAGGCCCAAGGCATCTGCAAACCTGACCCGGTTCTTGCGGGTGTTGCAACCTGGAACACGGCAGGGAGCCACCCCGCTCCACCTTCTCTCTGGAGAGCTGGGCAAGGACCTGGCCCGACGGCGCATGATGGGTCGGAGGTGTGGGTCACAGCTCGTAACAGTGGCGCTCTGAGGAACTCTGCGTTCAGCTTCCTTGCGAAGGGGGGAGTTCAGATGGCTGGCACTGCTGCTGCTATACAGTGGCTGGCACCTCTTCCTTTCCACAGGCTGGGATTCTTCGCCCCGTAGCATGTTCTGGTAGAGATCAGAGAGATAGCTGTGACACCGCCGTGGCGCCCTCAGCACGCTCTGTTCCTGAGGGCAAGCAGTTTGAGTGGACATCACTGCTGCCAGAGACTACCTTTCGCCGAGACGTGGAGGAGAAGGCTCAGTTCAGTGAGGAAACAAGCACGGAGTGACAAGGCCCAGCGATGGTTCGCACAGTCCCTGTTTGATCAGTCTTGGCTCTGGCAGAACAGACTGAGAGAACCCACTACAGGCTTGGGTCAGATGCTGTAGGATCCAGAGCAGCGGTGCAGAGGCTCCAGGCTATCGCACAGGCTGCAGGGGGACTCAAGGCTATCAGTGAGAATGCTGGAAGCCTGGGTGTTGTCCCCTAAGCTGGCCACCGACTGGAGGCTGTCCAGCTGGATGCTGGAGGTCTCAAGACTGTCCCCAAGGCTGAAGACGGACTGGAGGTTGGCCTGGTAGCGCCGCAGGGAGTCCAGGCTGTCCCAGGGGTTGAGGCTGTCCTGGAGGAAACTGGCCGAGGCAAGGCTCTCGCGCTGCCCAGCAGAGGATTCGAGGCTGTCGCTCTGGATGCTGGAAGACTCCAGAAGACTGCCAGGGCTGGAAGATGCCCGGAGGTGGCTGGGCTGGGCAGAGAGGGAATCGAGGCTGCCGGGCAAGCTGGAAGGAGTCTGGAGGCCGTCCCCGGGAGCGACGGGGGCCTGGAGGCTGTCGGCTTGTACGGTGCTGGTGCTGGTGGTGGAAGAGGACGGGGTCAAGCTAGGGCACGAGCTAGAGACGGAGTCTGCAATGGGAGACTCTGGAGCCCACATCCAGCTGAACTCCGGCTTTTTCCGCTTCCCCGTGGGTAGACGGTGCTGGTCCCGCAACCTTCTGCGACGACCCCGGTTTCTGTTTCAGGCGCGCCAGAGCAACAAGCGGCACCGAAAAGGGGCGCGCGGGCGGGCAGTCGAGCAAGCTGCGGCTTCCGATCTTCCTCCCTCTGCAGCAGGTCAGCTGACGCGCAAAAAGGGCTTGCAAAAAAAAAAAGGGGGGGCTGTTGCAAGAGAGCACGTACGTGCACGCCCCCTGTGACGTCACCGGCCGCTACCAGCTCATCGCATCGCCATTGCCCTTCGCAGAAGCCGTTCTCGCTCCTTGCGCGCCGTCGCTTCGTTAAGCTGTCATCAGTCGTACTTGTTCCCCGCCTGCGCAGAAGCAAGAACGAAGCCCACCGCGCCCTTTGTCTTGCCCACACTACTACCTGAAGGAACCTGATTGAAGAGGGCAGCCGTCAATAAGGAAAGAGGCGGAGCAATTAAGGGTTACAAGAAGTCCCCAAAAAGCAAAATCACGGAACAGGCTAAAAAAGGAGACGACTGAAAAAAGTCGGAGCGCAGATGTGTTTTACTGCCAGCCTCTGTTGCAATTTGAAGCACCCTGATCTAGAAGTCAGCCCTTTGAACTCCAAGGAGTTTGATAAAGAAACACACTCTAGAGTGTGCTGGCAGTTTATCAGATTGCCTTCAGCTGTATGATGTATTTTATACTTTCTCAATTCTCTGATTTCTCTTTGGTGGATAGACATGCTAGCTTCTATGCCAAATATCTTTTTCCAACTGATTTCATAAAAAGCAACATTGTGTTTTAAACTGGGGTTGACAAATTCAGATTAATTGCTTCAAGTCAGGCTCCACTTTGTGTGACTTTCTGGCTCACTAGGTCCCTTCTAATCATACATCATAATTATATTTTAAGGTGCTCCTTTATGGTAGTGGAGAACTTCACATGCAGAAAGTAACTCATGCAGCCACAATGTGTCAGAGCTTTCAAATTTGAAAATTTATTTTTCCCTAATTTTTTTTAGATTGTTTTTATCCCGCCTGTATTATTTTTTAAAAATAACTCAAGGTGGCGAACATTCGTAATACTCCTTCCTCCTCCTATTTTTCCCTCTCAGGAGACACAAGCAAAAATATACTTTTCCATTATTACGCCAAGTGACCGGGAATCCCTGTGCAGTGCAGAAGATCCCAAAGAAGTCTACAACACCAATATTCCCCAACCTGGAGCCCATTTGGTGTGCTTAAATATAAATCCCTAAATATGGCCATGAAGGGACCTGCAGTCCAACAGATCTCAAAGGCAGCAGGTTGTGAGTGGCTGCTTCAAATATACTTTCCATTTTTACATGGATGCAAGGCAAGCATCTTGGGGGTTTTTTATTGCCTAAAGTGAATGGAAAGTGCTTCCTAGAACATGCCCCCAGGTCCTGCATCCAGGTTACAAGGAGAAGGGAAAGCATTGGAAAGGTGGGGATTCAAAAAGGCATGTGGGATGTGCCACACTGGAAACATCAGAGGTTGGGCAGCTGGTGAGATATATGGCACACTGTGACTTGCTGAGGGAGAGGGGTCAATTCTGGTGGCCGATGTCCTTGGCTTTCTCCCTGCTCTTCCCCCCTCCCAAACCATTTCTGCCCAGAAAAGCCCCATTTAGTTCTGTGCGCAGATCAGAACAGCCCTGTTCTGCTCCATGCACAGACCCAAATGCTTGAAACACGTTTAGGCTCAGGCACAGGCCACCCGAACGCTGATATTCCACACACAGAATATTTTTGAATATCCATGTGCCCTATCGCCTAGGAAAGAATATTCTAATAATTGTTCTTGCATCACAAGGACTGGGTTTACACATTCTCTCTGTCGCAATTTATACTAAATAAATCAAGGCAGGGTTGTTCTGAGTTTCTTTCTCATGCTTGTTCCAACCTCTGGACCGTGTAATCGCTTCTCCAGGTCCCTTATTAAGAGCTCCTTCCTCCCTCCCTCAAGGTCGGCTCTAAATTCCTTTACAGTTGGGTTGGTTTAGTGCTTAGCTTAAGAGCTAATTTAGCCAGAAAGACCTCCTGAGAGCCATCGGGTGCAAGACAGCAGGCGACGGCCCCGCAAATGACACAAATGGCATCATCACCTGCACAACTGCATGGCCCGTGACATCACTTGCCCCCAGCAAGCCCCCATGGGCACCATGATTACAGGACTGGGCTTGAACTCGGAAGATCCAGGTTTAAGTTCATCCTGCCCGCCCAAGTTCCCTGGAGGACTGTGAATCGCTCTCAGCCCCAACAAGGTCGTTGTTACGGGGGGCGGGGGGAATGGAGCGCGGTCACCACACTGCCTGGCCACGCGCCGCCCCTTGCGCGCAGCCCCTTAGGCTCCCTCAGTAAACCATGGTTAGGCGGATGAGGGCTTGGCGAGCGCCGTGCCCCCCCCCCCCCCC